CCCTAAATTAAAAATCCCTTATTCCCAAGTCTCTAAATTCTCAAACTCCAAATTCCTAAATTTCCAAACTCCCAAACTCGATCTTCAAATTTACAATTACCAAATATTTCAATTTGAAAATTTACCAATAAAATTAATTCTGAAATAATAAGAAATTATCACGTAAATTGTGCACCATTTTGTAACTACCATAATAATTACCATTGTACAACGTCATGTGAAAGGTAAAACAAAAGTAGTGATTACAAAAGGAGAAATATTCTCGTTAATTTATGTTTGATAAAATATTCGTCAGAATTAATAGGATATTTTATGCAACGCATTTGCATCACAATGCAAGAATTTACTAACGAACCGAAGAAAGAATGTTATTGCATAATAGATAATAAATAGATAAAAAAATGTGGTAAAAATCGAGGACCTTTTTTTTGTAAGTTTCTAATATATTCATGAAGATACTTTCGTAGAAAAGTTCATATTGAGGTAAATATGTGAAATAATTAAAATTCATATTTTTCAGCTAGTTACATTATACAATTTATTTTTGCAAATTATTATATGTAAATTCATATCCCAACAGAGATGTAATTTAATTACGTTCATAATTACAGTAATTATGAATTGATTGCAGGGTTTGAATTATACGGTTCAATTTACAAATTGATTGAATTATTTTACCGAAATATTAATCGAACTATGCTATTCAAAAATAATATAATTACTATGTTATCGAAATGTAATGGAACTATATTATTGCAATTTAATTAAAAGAATAATTTATGTAATTCATAAAGTTCCATTAACACTGTGAATAATAAGTGATAATTATTAGTTGGAATAATTTAAATAATTTCCTCAATATCTTCAATATAATTAAAATTGTACTGCAATGTAATTAAAAGAATAATTTATGTAATTCATAAAGTTCCATTATCACTGTGAATAATAATTGACAATTATTAATTGGAATAATTTAAATAATTTCCTCAATATCTTCAATATAATTAAAATTGTATTGCAATATAATTAAAAGAATAATTTATGTAATTCATCAAGTTCCATTATCACTGTGAATAGTAATTGACAATTATTAGTTGGAATAATTTAAATAATTTCCTCAATATCTTCAATATTATTTAATGAATAATTATATTCATCTAACAAGTACTTTTCACCCATGTAAAAATAAATAATTTATTCAGCAGAACTCATCTTAATTCATCTACAAACTCATCTACCTTGCCGTAAGATTTATTCACATGCGTCAGAATTAACCTTTCACTACTAATATTAACTTTCCATACTATTAAAACAAATAAATGAAGTTAAAGTTATAACAATGACTCCATTACCTTGACTACACAAATTGGACATAAAATTGAAGCCTACAAATTCGTCACAAAGATTTGTCACAGTTAGCCCCTTGCACTATGATGTTTTTGTCAAGTGCGTCAGTCAGAACCGACTAATTTTAGCCATAACATGAAAATAGACACAGAAACTTGAAATTTTATGTGAATTCGGTATCATGCAGTCGTTGACTATGCAAACTATAGTTAGACTTGAACTCCAAATTGAAATGTATTCAAAATTCGAATAAAATTTGTCAGACCCGAAGTATGAGTGCGTCACGACTCATACTCGTCAAAACAGCGTAAGGGGTTAGACTCGTAAAACTATATATTTATTTACCATAAAATATGAATTAACATTATAACAAGAAAATAAAAGGATCTTTTTAAACACATTTTATTCGCTTGTATATGTACAGTTTATATATAATCGTCGATAATTTATACACGGTATATTCGACTGCGATTTTCAAAAGGGTAACTGTTTCCTACAGGAATCGTTTCGTGCCAAAGCGATCGTGAATCTCAGCTCTAACAAAGCTCGACTCGCTCTAAATTCAGAGAACTTTTGACGAGGGTCTATCTCTCTATATCAGAGACTAAGGAATGCAACGAGGTAGTTAAAGAACGGGTATCCTCTCGCAAATTTTTATTATCGAACGAAACCGTAAAGATGCAATCTCGAATTCATAAAATAAAAGCTTGAATCTCTCTTTTTTGGCGAACGTTCCAATCTCGACTGGAAGCAAATTTCGTGATTTATTGGTACTTTTCGGAATACGTGCCACTTCAAAAATTAACCGAGTGAATCGCTTTCTCTTTTTATTTTGCAGAATTTATTTCATACTGTCAGACTGTTTGTTTGCACTTTGATGGCTGCTGTGTATGTGTGCGATTGATGAACGTAAGTGATGGCTTTAAGAATTATCACGCAAAGAAAAATATTAAAATTTGTCGTAACATTAAAATATTAATTATTGTTGTTTTCGTTTGTTTCATAAGTATGTTCGTACACGTCAAATTATTTCGTGAATTTACATGAAGTCTTTTTAAATTAATTCTTCAAAAATAGTTCCTGACAAAGTTTAAAGGCAGCCATTAAAATGTTAAACATCGAATAGTACGCTATAATTTATACTTAATTTTACATTTTATTGTTTTAGAACTTAAAAAATGTTTAAAAAAGAGAATTTATTTCTCTGAAAGAAATAATTTCTTCATAGAAAATAGGCCACGCTTATATTTCTGAAAAAAAGTATTTTATCAAAATATAAATTTTGTTCATAGGCAAATGTGTCAGAATTTGTTTTTTAAAACTGTAAATAATTGCAAGAATACTTGCATCCATGCTTATATTGGTCTTCGTATAAAGAAGCAATTCCTTTCGTAAACTTTTTATTTTTCAAAAAGTGGCACTCGCAGTCTTTTTTATTTCAATTTTTCTAGTAATTAGATAACTCCTTTTGCAATGAAATTAACCTTAAAATTAACTCGAAGACTTTGATCAAATTTTACATTATTTGTTATTAAATTTATTAAGTTTATTAAGTTTGTTATTTAAATTTATAGAATCTCCTGCAACATTTACCATTTCAAACATTGAAGAAAATCGAAACGCATTGATTTTGCTCGAGTTTCTTTGATCATCTCCTTTCACGGTAGTGATGGGTTTAATTTAATACAAACATGAACAAAAAATTTCAATAGGACTTCATTTCCTGGAATTTAAATATTGCTAAGAGATATGAAAAGGGTGATGAATCAGACTTTTCAAGCTTTAATGGAAAGTAAATGAAAGCTGCAAGAGATATCAATTTATACTAACCCTTTGTTGCATGATTTTTGAGAAAACATTATTACAATATAAATACTGTTACAGTGAAATATTGGTTTACTTATTTCGAAAATAATATACAGAATATTTATATAGAATTAATATATGAATTATTTATAAAGAAAGATTTTCTAGTTAAAAATATATTGCTTAAAAATTAACAAGTATAAATTCAAAACTAATAGACATATTAAAAATGTAGAAAAAATGATTACGAAAGGCAGGAAATGAAGATAATTTCATTAATTATGAAATTTCTGTTTATTTATGTCTGACAAAATACAAGAATTTCATAGTGTATTTCATGTAGCATATATTTGCAGTAGATGGCAACAAAGGGTTAAAACCTGAACGAAAAATCGAATCCTGTATAAATAGTTTTCGAACCCTGCAAGACAAGAAATCACAAATATTATAATAAATATTAAAATTGCAGATTTTTACAGAATAAATTAATTATTTAGAATAATTTAATTTAAAAAAAAAAATTTATCGACTACTTAAATATAGTGTTTACCCAGAACGAAAGTTCTATATACAGCATTTAAGTCATCCTAAAAATATGATTATTTATTATTTGTTAAAATGAGTATTCTTTGTGTAATTACAGTATTTTGCTAATAGTGGGATTTAGGGATTTGGGGAATTAGGGATTTAGGGATTTGGGGATTTGAGGATTTGGGGATTTGGGGATTTGGGAATTTGGAAATTTAGGAATCTGGGGATTCTTGAAATTGGGGACCTGAGAATTTGGGAATCTGGGGATTTTTGAATCTGAGAATTTCTAAATTTCTGAGTCCCCAAATTCTCAAATTCTAAACTCTCAAATTTCCAAATCCTCAAATTTCCGAATCCCCAAATTCCAAACTTTCAAATTTCCAAATCCCCAAATTCCAAATTCTCAAATCCCAAATCCTCAAATTCCAAATTCTCAAATTTCCAAATCCTCAAATTCCCAAATTTCTAAAATCTAAATTTCTAAGTTTCCAAACTCTCAATTCCCCAATTCTCAAATCCCTCCAAATTCTCAAACCTCCAATTTCCTAAAATCCCAAATTCTCAAATTTCCAAACCCTCAAATCCCCAAATTTCTAAAATCCCAAATTCTCAAATTTCCAAATCCTCAAATCCCCAATTCTCGAATTTCTAAATTTCTAAGTTTCCAAACTCTCAATTCCCCAATTCTCAAATCCCCAAATTCTCAATTCCCCAATTCTCAAATCCCCAAATTCTAAAATTCCCCAATTCAAATAAAATTTCTAAAAGAAAATTTTTCAAACATCATTCTCAATATCCAAATATTTCCAATTAATAAAACGAACTTCTAGGATGACTTAATACTCCATCAATTATATTAATTAATTATATTTCCAAGTACCATTCTGCAGGTACTTGAACTCGAACCTATCTCACTTATGTTATCTACTTGAAAGTATTGCTTCTTTCCAAAATCTTCAATTTGAACCTACTTGAAAGTCGGATCCATCTCTAGTGAACAGTCGAAAAATGTTCGCCACAAATGGTACTCGCATAAATACGTGTTCGTACAATATACGTATATACGATTGCGATTCGAATTGATTACTTTCGATTTTTATTAAGATACGCGTTATCATAGCTTCACAGAAACTTTCGCGTCGGTTGAAAATTAGAGGGAGAAATGGCACGCTGGCTACGATTCACGATAGAGAAATATTTAACGTGAAACGTGGATCCTAATAAAATCAGCGATTTTATTGGATCCTTTCGTTAAGAAAAAATTATTATTACAAGGAAGAATCACTACTGTGATTATTATGCATTAACCATCTCTATTACAATGTTTTTTTTTATTTGGATCAATTCATTGCCCGCGCGGCAGACAGTAATTAATTTGTTTCGCAAGTTCGGTAAGATATAAGCTTAGCTCCACTGTTAACGAAAGGATCGGTTTTAACATCGAAATTAACCGTTCCGTTCCGATAGATCTTAATTACACCTCTGTATTTTTCTTTTTCCAAATAGAAGTACGTAAGACATGCAAAGAAAGAAAAGAAATTACGATTACGCTATAACACATCGATTCAAGCCATATATTAAATAAGTACTAAATCTTGCAACGAGCATTTTCAACTTTGGTACCATAATTCTTTTTTTCTTCTTTTTTGTAACACAAATCCGGTTACTTTTCCTCTTTCGCAAATATATATCTTAACGAGTAAGTTCGACCGTAATATTGTCTGCTATATTCTGCCATATCTATACCAGCACACACAAAGAAAATATATTACTCGTTTTACGTCTACGATCGCTAAACGAACACGTTGACTGCGGAGATCAGTGATAAATAATTACTACTGAACACCCACTCCATTTTACAACTCAAACACCTTTTATGTCCCATAAAATTATTGTTCATATCATTTGTTTAAATACTACAGATTCATTTTATTAATTTTGAAGAAATGTTCAAAAACATGGTCAAACTTTAAAGTAAACTTTATGTTACATTAAATAACTGTATTATATTAATAAGTATGTATTAAGAATGTGGCAGTCAACGTGTTAACGCATCCAATGCTAACATCTCATCTCCCCTGAAATAAATGTAAAAGACATCGCAAAATATTTGCGAGGTGACTCTAGTATAATTGGAAGTAGCACGCGTTATTATATTGCACTATGGAAACCATAGCATCCGACAACGAATCTTTAAATATTGTCTCGTTTTAATACGCACGAACGCAATTTCGTTCTATAATATTTAATCGCAGTAACAAGAATAAAAGTTCGTTATCTAATTTAGTTGGGCTATTTTTCGATCTATACAAAACTGTAGAGGAAACTAAGAAATAACAGCAAATCCTCCGGAGATAGTGGTTGATGTAACAAAGAATACCGTTTCTAACCTTTAATTAAATTACACGCGTTAACACAACTGACTAACATAGTTGCTAAAAAGTGATTCTTAAACTGAAATTTCTGTACAAAGGAAATAAATATCTATGTCTGCAGTGGTGTATAGAATGTTCTTCCCTAAACTACTGATCTTGGTACAGCCTTAAGTTTCACATAGTTACAAAAAATAATGCTCTGTTATCTTTAAAGGAACTCCCTGCTAAAATACGTAATAATCCTCTGCCATAGCTGAAATACTTTTACACCTTTGATCCCACCTTATCGTGGCTCCTCTGAAGCCTCTTATGATCTTTCCTATACTTCTCGATCGTTAAATCCGCGTTATCCGTATTAGATAAGCTCAACGCGACGGGATCTAAACTTGCGGCAAGCTTTAGATAAGTCTCCTCCATTTCTTTAGTGATCTTTACCTCGTAATCGAAATCGGTTGCGTCTCCTTTCTTCAAAGTTTTAGGCAAAACTTTCTCCTCTTCGTTAGGGACGTCGAAAGATATCAAATCCTTATCTTTGTCTAGTTCCGTATTTACATTCGGTGAAAAATTATTTACATCCTTACTTAAATCTCTCGGTTTAAAATCTTCGACTACCTCCGCATTTGCGCATTTACTTTTTGCAGAATTCTCGAACAACATCTGACCATCTAATTTTCTTTGCGATTCGTTTAGATACATTATCGAAGGACTCTTGTCCATCAGATTTTCGTTAGGCTTCAATTTTGTGTAGCTCGTTATGGAGTTGTCCATGTGAACGGACGACTGAACCCATTCGGCTACTCTTTGTAGTTGATTATTGTCGTGCAGCAAAATTGGAGTACTTTCCTCGCTACTGGTCGAGACAGATCGTTCAGATCCGGATCGAGACAATTTTTTGGAATGAACTAAAGCAGTATTTGGTTTGTTACCTCCGCTAGTGTATAGTACAGTTTTATAGTGGCCAGCATTATCTAGAAGAATATTTTTCGACCCAGGCGTGACTCTCACCAGACAGTTTCTAGGACCAGTTGTTCTGTGCTGACTGTTGGGTTTTGTGTTACCAATATTATGCAAACGGTTCGACTGAATGACGTCGCTAGAACTGCTGGAAGGATCGGAAGTCGAAATTACTATGCTATCGCTACTAAAACTTGGACTAGTGGCCACTTCCATTTGTCCAGAATCATTCTGGGCCGTGACGCTATCAACGTTTTTTACTTCTATTAAGGTTAACTGCGGTGGCCTCTGAGTATCTTGATTAGATCTGTCGTTCTTCCAAACCCTATCGTTGATCACATCAATCTCGATATCGCTGTTGAATTTCTCTACGTTTTTCCCGTCTCTGTTAGTTTGAGATTTCAACTTCGTCCATTCGTTCTTCCACAATCTATCGTTAATAATATCAATATGGCTTTGTTCTTTCCCGTCGAAGTAACTTTTAAGATTCTCAGGAACTGTATGGCTGTGATTCAAAGGTTTCTTCTCCACTTTGTTCCAAGAATTTACATTGTATTTAGGGTCAACTTCGCACTTCTTATTCGGTTTCATTTGTTTACCTTTATCTGAATTTATTTTACTAGTGTCACTGATTTTTTGCGGCATCGCTTGTTTAATCCCATTCTCGCTTTGATTCTGGAACACAATTTGACCGTCGTTGCGACGCAGCGAGTTCTTTTTATTTAAATTAACTTTCGTATTTATGCGATTGCCTTCCTTTAAACCGTCTACCATTTTACCGTTCCTACTTACAAATTTATCTTTTGTGCATAAACTTTGACAACTACTATTTTTTGTACAATTCTTCTGATACTGTACTTTACTATTAACATTCTCGTTCACCTCGTGGTACATCATGTGCACCATGGAATTTTGACTTTCCTTATTTTGACAATTTTTATCAATACTTTTTAAATTGTCCGAATGATTCTCCACGTTTTGTGCATACTTCATCGCACATTCGTTGCAAGGATAAACACCTTGAACGCTAGTTTGAGTCTCAGCGTCAACCATTAAAATACTCCTATGACATGTACATGTATCACAGTGTTTACCAAATATTCTTTCTTTTTCTCGATCTTCTAAAACTTTGGCCATTATCGCAGCCGAGACAATATCCACCGGTGGTTTCGATTCATCCGAGTCATCGTCGCTATGCTTATCAGCTGCAGACTTAGTTACATTATATACCATCGCCGTTGGAGGAAACGTTGAGATCGGTACTGTAATACTTTTCACATCAGGAGGTGCAGCGTCGTTAGAACGTTTCTTTTGTGCAATGTATGTTCTAACTTTTGCTTGTACTTCAGATGGTAACTGAAAATAAAAATGCAATCTCCATATACATTTCATGTAGTAGAGAGTCCACTTGAACAAACTTAAATGACTTACAGCATCATATTTTTGACCTACAAAATTAGACGGTTTACACTGAAGAAGTTGTATTGCTAAATTTACATCATTTCTATACTTTTCCTGAAAATAAACAGATATTTCAGTCATATCTTCATCCAAAAGTTACATATTGGTACTAAAGACATACATTATCTTGTGTCAAACGATGTATGGTATAATTTGCATCGGCTAGTCTATGAGATAAAGTTGCAATATCCTTGGTAAATGCACTTTTTTCTGTTTCACATTTATCTACAATTCTTAATAATTTATCCTCAAGATTTTGATTTACTTTTTGAACACGTTTATGCGCTTCATGTAACCTTGAATACTTTTCTTGCCATATTACAAGCTCTTCCTTCAAAGAAGCTAATTCTCCATTCGGAAATTTATCAGCTTCGTTTAAAAATTGAGTCTCCATTGTTACAATGTGATTATCCCTTTCTAATAAACGCTGCCTTAAGTTTTCTATCTCTACATGCAAATGCATCTCCCCGTGTTGCTCATCATTTTGATTGCAATTTACACACTTGCAACCACATTCCTGAAACATGTAGTCATAACCAATAGTTTCCTGCTATAATAATTGCTAACAAAATACTCCAAAGATTAATAGTCAATTGAATATTAAAATAAAATGAATCTCATTTACAATATATCTGTATTTGTTAATAATTAACAAAAAATATTTATATGTTTTATTTGTTAATTTTTAATACAGTACAATATTTATTTATTGTTGTTATACATACCTTACATTTTTCAGCCATCATGCAGTACACAAATTATATTAAAAATATTAAAAAGATATTTACGAATAGCGAGACTTCGAAATTGGAGCCTCATAACCCTAATGTTCAGTTCGTACAGAAATATGGACAGCTTTCGCACGTTTCAACGTAATCTATTTTCTCATAACATTATCAGCCGGGAGGTCAATCTGTGCAATAAAAGCTGTTTCTATGGAGTTATTACTGTTCGAAAAAATAATATTACGATAAACTTTACGATGACAGATTGCAAGTTCTTTGTCGTCTGCCACACATTTAAGTCGAAGTAACTGAATCGTCAACGTTAAGATTGAGTCGTAGATTTTTTACATAGTTCCTGAAATTACATTGAATTAATCTCACATTTTTCTACGATATACTATAAATTAACACGAGGACAACAATTATTACCAAATCAAAAGGAAAACTGGAAAATAAATTTTTAACAATGAGTTATCGTACTTAAATGGTATTATTCGTTCAATGGGATATCATACTCATTTCGCGCAACACAGCTAACTTCAATAGGGTCCCCACCAGATAGTGTTGTCCCACCACCATAAGCTTGTCACGCCGCTAGTTATATACACGGTAGACAAAAATATTTGAATAAGTGACGGTACGGGACAAATACAAGTGATAGTTTGTGAGTTACATTTTCTATATTTTCAAAAACCTAAATTAACAAGCTCCAAAATTCTAAGTTTCTAAATTTCTAAATTGCCAAATTCTCAAATTTAAAAATTCTCTAATCCCCGAATCTCAGTTACATTCGTGATCATACCCCAGAAGTGTCTTAAATAAAAAATCGCTAGGTATATAAGTTCGGTATCGCAAAAATCGCAAACGTACATGCGTGTTGCTGTTGGTTACAGAGTAGTTGAACCAATGAAAGGTGACATGCGTACAATGAACAAAAATTTATCCGATGATAAATACGATCTCCCGCTGAACAAATAAGTACTTAATAAGTACTTGAGATCGACCAATAGAGCCAGTTGGATAAAGATCGCATTTTTTTATTGGATATCACTATGTATACACGCTTTTAATCAAATGCACGCGGAAAAATAGTAGCGCTCGTGAATTTGAAAATTGATATCATTCTTTTCGTAGAATAACAATTCAAATTCACGCGCAAATATAAGTGGGAAAGTAAATGAAAAGAAATTGAATAAAGTTGATTTGCAGAAATATTTATTAAGTGTATATTATACCCCATACATAATGTTTGTAATCATAAAATTGTTAATGACGTTAATACAACAATAATTGTAACAGTTCACAACATTTTTAATTTAATACTTGAGAAAGAAATATAAAATGTAACTCCGTTAGGAAAAAGAAAAGAAAAAATGCATGAAATTATTGAAAACTAAAATGAAACATAAAATCATGAAATTAACAGTAATGAATTACAGAAAACTTGCCATTCAGATAAATTTTATTTTCGAAAGCAATACTTCTTGTAAGGATAAAAATTATACTAATTCACTCAACATACCATAAATTTTTATACACACGATTGTGTTACATAGATTTATCTACACACTGATAACAATTAAACTTCTTAAAAATAATAAAAAAAGTAATTATTAATTTGCTATCAATAATACAATTTTATTATAATTTTTGTTTTAGTAGAGATATAAATCCTATACTGCCTTAAAATTTTGATTCGTAATTAGTTTATTAATTAGTAACTTCGTGAATTTTGATTATGTCGCTAAAATTAATGAGGTCGTACAATTAATAATGTATAAATATTTTGCACGAATGTGTAATATAGTTTTTATTGGATAACACGAAATAAAGTATTGAACAGATATATATTTAAAGTTATGAAAAAATGCAAAGATCAATATAGTTATAGAACAGGATTACAGTTATCATTGCATAGTTATACAAGAAGTATTCTTATAACATATGACACAGCAGTGGTAGAATATATGTATGTTTATATAGTGCCTTACCCTACAATCGAAATGATCCAAACATTAATGTTAATATCAAATCTGTTTGACTTCAATACATTGTTTTTACTCGATTGTAAAGTACAGTCTTACTCGATAAGAGAATGTACAATAATGAAGTATTAAAAATTCTTGTATGCATTGGCTGTACAAAAAGAAAAAGAAAAAATTAAACAGAATACTTTAACGCTGATCAAAGCCTCTATCACGTTTGAAAACTATTTGAAGGATCTCAATTTTCTTTCTTTTTATGCCAAAGCACTATATTCACTTGTAAATTTCAACATCTATCTATTTAGTATTTAAGAAGTTATGGATATAAAAAAATTTTGTTTATATAAAAAACATTATATTTTTTTGCCCAAAATGTATGTGATATTTTTTTTTTGTCACGAATGCGAATGTACATTAATACTACGTATTTTATCACATGTTTATTTGAATATAGATTTCTTATAAAAAAATTATTTCTGAACATTTTCATTATTGTATGGAGCATAAGGTTTTTATACATAAGGTTTTTATACTTGTTTTTTTATACATGAACACAATTAAAAAGTTTGGAACATTTCAAATGTTGAGCATCATATATATTAATAAAAGAATATGTCCGAATGCAACATTGCTTAAATCTACATATACATTATAATATCTATATTCATATAGAATTTCCACGTCTCTCATAACAACAAAATGACTCTTTCTGAATAAGTTTTAACAAATTGAACACAAAAAATCACCTACAGTAGAGCAAATTTCATGCGTATATATTAAACAATGATACTTGTGAAACATGAAAATTGCAAATGTTATACTACATGTTATACTGTTTGATTAAAAATTTGTCTAATACAGTCTGCTCATAATATTTGTGTTAAATCTGATTATATGTTTAGAAATTCATCTAAGGACACTAAGAATAGCAATAACAATATTCCAATTTTTATCAGAATTAACTAGACTCATACATTATGTAACAGATGGTAACACCTATGCTATTCAATTTAATTTTTTTAGAATACTATCAATTTAATAAGTGCTTTAAAATATCAATGAAAAGTTCTTAAAATAACTCAATTGTATAAATTATGTACCAATAAAATATGCTATATATTATTATTAATATTTTCTGTTAAACGAATTTTCTGCACCAATGAATTAACAGTATACTTGTACAATCATAATTCTTAAAAGTAATTTTCACATTATAGTTTGAATAGTACGTGTAAAGTGAAAATTACTTTTAAGAATAACCCTATGTTACAATATAAATGGAAAAAAATTGCACATTTTATGCATTGATGATATTAAAATGCTTAAATATGTGTGATAGGTTCAAAAACCAAACAATATAAAATATTTAAATATAAACAAGACTTAAATGTTATCACATATATTTATACACATCTGTTTGAACATAATCAAAAGTGAAAAATAAAATATGAAATTACTTAAAAAATTAACTATTGTAACATTCAGAACACTGCATATAAAGTAATTCGTATTACTTGGTTTTTGAGTCCTTCAGACATAGAAAATTTCCAAATAAAAACAAAGACATTTATTTATAGCGTTAACAAAGCAAGAAGTTAAGTAGATATAAGTTACTATGGTTTGATAAATTGTCTACAATATACAAGGTTCAATGTACATGACATTAGCATCAGCATGATAGAATTAAAGTTTCAACTGCAATAAGCTATAGATCTACTAACATCGATGATGTATATTCTTAAATGCTAAGATTTATAAATTTTACTTAAAATCATAAGCTCAATTTCTTTCCTCACTTTGAGCATAATTGAAATAAAAAATTTGTAACCACACATTAATCCTGAAATTCATGCGTTTGTTAATAATCTTCTAATATAACTGATTATTAATAGAATCTCGGAGGCAGTATGTTTACGTAAAAAGTAAGGTATGCTTTTTGAAGCAAACATAGCATAAATTTTTTTACACCACAAGCTTGTGAATTAAGTGAGATATCATTTCTCTATTCATTAACGTAATATAATATACACAATAAACAATAAAGTTATTGATTTAAACTTGTCAAATATTATCTTCAAATTATGTTACCAGAATTTCAAAGTTCACGTGGTTTATCGATACTGTTATAGGGCACATCTCAACAATGTGGATAGATTATACATATGTATAAATTCTTTATTTCTTTACGTTTGCGCTAAAACAATATTGAATACTAGAGTAAACTTTGAAGCTCAAGTCAGCATAAATGTACTATATATATACACGTCAAAGAAAAAGTCCTTTGAAACTTTTTCTTTTCATACTACATGACAGAATTTGATATATGCAATATTTATTAATAAATTGAAATCGCCTATACAAGGCATTAAAATTTATTACATACAATTTATTGAGGAATTGTATCCAATCTTTTAAACCTGCTTAAAATCAATACTGCTCCCTCTTGAAATATCTATGATTTATCTTTTACTAAATCCTTTTCTTGAGGATTAATTAAAGAAAGTGTCACAAGTGATATGACATTCATTTTGTATGCCTTACACATCAATGACTTAATTCATTCTAATTAAATTCTCACTAATCTAATATTTTACAAGCAACCTTGCATCCGGAATTAAACATCTATCATCCAATTAATTATTTATATATAACATGTAATAATGCAACAGTTCTTCGTCATAAAAAATCGTAAGCCTTAGTCGTAATTCGAACAAGGTCATTTGTAATTACAGAATGAATAATTTTCGTCACTGAAACGTTAATAAACCTGTTCCTAATATAATGATCATATTCAACTTTGTTAAAGATATAACGTAAATAATGAGAGTTATAATAATAATAATATTTCTTGGCATTAGTATAAGTGTCATGTATCTTTAAATTGAAATATAATATTTCTTATTAGCAAAACAATTTTACAATTTCTTTTTTTATAGAAAGGAACAGGTTTTTTAACTACTTTCATAAGAAGGGACTGTTTACACTTTAAGAGCAGCTTTGGGAGACCAATGATGGAAACGGGCAGGTCCTGTAGGATAAGAGGGAGGATGAATCCACTTATTTCCTCTGTGACCCATAAATGGAGGTGGAGATGGACCACCCAAAAAATGAGGGGGCATGATATTATACCATGGCTGACTTATTGGATGTGGACCATAACCCATACTGAAGGAGTGACCAAACCAGGAACGATTTCTATTTAGATGTAGCCTCGGACTGTTCAAATTACGTTTCCTACCTGTACCGGTATTGCTATGCTGTTGATTTTGATTAGCAGAGCTTAGTGGTTTTGATTTTTGGTGCTGTTCTGTGTTAGCGGTCAAAGGGGATTTCTGTAAATAGAAATTAACAAATTTACTACACCTAACTCATTGCATCATCTCTTAACACTAAGAAGCAAGGAAGGAGGGACAAATTAAGCAAATATTACTTTACATCAATATGTCTATAGTAAAAAATATTACCTGTATCTTAGTCGGCCCCTCAGATTGTTTATTTTCTTTTTCATCATTGCTTCCTTGAAAAATTGGTACAGTGTTTTCTTTATCATCAAATGATGCCAATGTACAATATGATCCCTTGCTTTCTCCAAATCGACAACAAACTTCATTGGGATCAACCCAAAGCGTTAATTCTACAGGTAACGAAAGGTCTTCATACTTGACTCCAGCAGCATTGGCAGCACTCTCCAAAGTTGCATCCCTCCGATTATGACCATTTACACGAATACAACGATAACCTTGACCTTTGAATGGCTTGTCAGGAAACCAATGATTTTTAAAACGTTCAGTTAACAATTCTACCAAACGTCGTTTAAAGCACTCCAATTGATCAGGACTAAATTTTTCGTTTTTTTCTATCAGCTGTACTAAGAATAGTACTGCTGCAGTGATCTCGTTGCGCATGTTGTCTCTGTCGTATACCAAGTTTATAATTTGCAAATGAAATCCTTCTGTGATGCCGTGTTACAATATTCTTGAAAACTAAAGTACCATTCGTTAAAGCCGATGTGGAGCACATAGAGCCCTTCTGCACCGCAGCAATACTTAAATTTTGTATGATCTATGATGTTTGCTTTTTGTGTTTGTGGTTTTAGAAATTAACTTCCGTTACTATCTTGTTCTTTCTTTGGTATACACAGTTTCTTCCAGTTATCTTTATTGCTATACCTGAAATTATACAAAAAATGTATTATTCACAACTCATTAAATTTAACACATTTTTAAAGTTTATGGTCACTAAAACATTTTTATGAAATGATTAAATGCACAGCACAGTTCCTAAATAAACTACTTGTATTTAGAAGGCATAACTGTTTGTCTATTTGTATCCAGATGAGCCTTGTTTATTTGTTTCTTTAATGCTCAAACTGGAGAAGATATTGAAACAGACATATTTGTATTATATCATATATACATGACTTGTTGCATTCTATTATTAATGTATCTGTACATACACAAAATGATTGATTTCGTTTCACAGTGGAACTACATAACAATATGTTATGGATATTAATTAGGTTATAAACCATAATAACGCAGGTTAGGAGAATCGTTTAAAGAAACAACAACATAGACGATTTAAATTTCAATTACGACAACCAGCAGTCAGGAACAGAGCAACTGGTATTATCGTAAAATACATTAAGTTTCAAGGAACTATTACTTTCAAATAATGAGCACAACGAATTATGCCAGCTCATTCTTGTCGTACCAGGTCGTGCCGTGAGCGATTGTTCCTGAAATACCACAACTCGCGATCTTGATGATTATTTATTTATCGTGATATTCTGCTACCATCGAAACTATACTTTTGTTCAATATACTTAAAAATTTAATACTAATATTAAATTGACCTTACGGATCAGTGACGAAAATTCCGTGTTTCTGGTGAAACTACTACGTCTTCTCTCTCTTTAAATAAACGTACTCGACCCAACACGTGTTACGTTGCATCAATGTCCATGAAGTATGTAGAAAAATATAGACCCTCCACAATTGTTACTTTTATTTCATATCTCATAGATAAAAAAAGGCAATTTATTATAAAATAACTTGAAGTGGTATTGATAAAGAATAACTTTTTGTTACTTAAGAATTAAATAATATCTTGTATTCAAGTTACTTGTATAAGATATATGTTAAAACTCAATGAACTTTGGAATTGACAAATTACACAATGTAAATGTTTAAATAATACCACTGTTAGTACTGAACAAAGAGCACTTTATAAAAATTTATTACATCAAATACTGCAATCTCGGATTTAAATCTTACGGTAATACAACGTGTAGCAGTATAACGTTATACAATGTAAGGCGATATAACGCGCAATTATACAATGTACAGTAAAATATTGTATCGATGGTGTAATACATTAGTAATATTACGTATATAGCGCGTAGCTAAGTAATGCTTGATAGAATAACATGTGACAATATAATGAGTGTGCAATATAACGCAAGTTGTACAACACGCGGGAGATGCAACGCATGATTATACAATACATGATGTTACGATACAAAGGTTGAATTACATAAGTGATAACCTAACGCGCAGCTATATATATATATACAACACGTGGCAATATAACAAGAATCTACTGTAGATGTTTTTAATAATTCCTTCCTGCCTCGGGCCCCGAAAACTCTAGCGACTGCTCTGCTTTTGAGAATAACATTTCTCAAAATAAGTTTAATTTTCGATCACTAACATTAAATATAATTGGAAGTTTAAGAATATATTAAAGAATGTTAATTGCAAATTACAATAAATCCCTCCAGTTATTCTAAAATTTATTAAAAATAAATTCACTCTTCATTTCTCATTTCAATAACATTGTATTGAAAATGATTACGTTTGCAGCGCCCTCACGCATAAACAGTACAAACGCGTGTATCAAGTCAGTTTGCAAAAACTTGTTATTTTGTAGTAATGTTTGTGATACGTAATTAGTCTTAATAATCCCGATTATAAAAAGAGCAGTTAAATAGTTACAATTATATTAAAGTAAATAAAATGATCAACATGAATAGAAGTTCTCCAAACATTTTAATAACAGGTAAACACAAATAAAATATGGTATTCTTTGATAGGTAATGGTAATTAGAATTTTTCAAATTAACTATTATCAAATAATATTAACAAGAACATAATGAAAATCTTCGATGGTAGGTACACCTGGAGTAGGAAAAAGTTTAATGTCGCGTATTTTATCTGAGAAGACACAATTAACCTGGATTGATGTTAGTAAATTTGCTATTGAAAAAGAATGTTTAGAAGAATACGATGAAATATATCAGTGTCCTATTTTAGATGAAGATAAGGTAATTGTAAGCATTATGATTTAATTTAAATTTTCATTCATTAATGAGTAATATAATTTTTAATTGCAGTTGCTGGATCAAATGGAAGGTCTTATGAGTGAAGGTGGGAAGATTGTTGATTATCATGGAGCTGACTTCTTTCCAGAAAGATGGTTTGATATTGTATTTGTATTAAGGACTGACAATACAATATTATATGATCGGTTGAGGGATCGAGGTTATACAGGGAAGAAACTAGAAGATAACATAGACTGTGAAATATTTCAAATTATTCTTGAAGAAGCTAAATCAGCATACAGGGAAGAAATAGTCCACGAATTAACAAGTAATAATTTAAATCAAATTACGGAAAATGTAAATAAAATATGTCAATGGATTGAACAGTGGAAAATAGATAATCAGCAAGAGTAACATAATTACTCAAACTTTGTTTTTGTTTTTTATAATCATGTTTTTGTTTTGTGTGTTTGTTATTTAAACAGAAAACTTACTTGAACAGCAACACAGTGATATTATTCATAAAAGATGCAATTAAATGTCATAATTAAGATGTTAATTAATAAGAAGTTTAAAATTAGTATGTGATTTAAACACATAAGTTTTTAGGTAATAAATATTATTATATACTTTTTACATTAAAATATACGTTTATATATTAAGTTTCACATATACTAATATAAATATTTTATATATTATTAAAGGTTATTCTATTATTCCTAAATCATGTTTAAGTTTTTTTAATCTATTATTTATAGTATAATAGTACTTCATTCTTATAAGAACAGTTTCTGCTTCTTTAATGTCTTCTTTACGAAATGCATCTGCTACATCCCTACATAAAAAATATCTTCTATAATTTGTGTAAAGTTAAAAAGCATTACATTTTCATTCAACAAATAGAATATTACTTTGTTAAATCACTTAGTGTCCTTTCATTCTCCTGCATTAACTGTTTTATTTTTTCTTTATCATTATCTGCCTCATCTATTTCCTCATTTTTCTCCATAATCTCCATTAAAAATGCTGCATTCACACTATCTGTGTCTTCTGATATTATTATATCATGTAGCTTTAACATGTACAATCCCCTTTTTAGTGGATGACAGAGTGTGGTATAAGCTTTATTCACCAATGATGAAAAATATGCAGAAATTTCTTTCTCCTTCTGTAAAAATCAAAACAAATACATTTGTAAATTGATTAATGATGTTATAATTTAGAATGCTTACCTCAGATTTTGTACTAAATTTATCAGGATGTAATAACTTTTGAAGCTCTTTGTATTTGTTTTGAATTTCTGTTACTGTTACATCATAACTTTTTGGAATACCCATTATATCAAAATAAGTCAAATTTTCGGGCGGTTCTTGCAAAACCTTGCACTTTGAACAAAACAATTCAGATTTGTACATAAAATCACAATTCCAACATTTTGATGGACTGGCAGTCGAATATCGCGACGCATTATTTAAAATTGACACAGGAAAATAATCTTTATTTACATAACAGCAATATAGTTTTCGTTTTTGTCTTACAAACCTTAAAGAAGGTACACTATTTGTTTTTGTAAGACTGCAAAACGCTTTTCTCAAGTACATATTTTTAATATAATTGTCATAACCTACTTATTTAACCTGTACGTGTGCGATTGTTAGATAATAACAAAAAGTACTTATTACACTCGCGATCAGAATATTGATAGCAAAACACATGAACAGTTTTCAAAAACACCAAGAATTTACTTAGCGCATGACAGCAATGATTCCTGATTGATTACTATTTTGGTGAAGCAGTTTGTTTAGTAATTTATAATTAGCATAATATAAAATATTTTTGAACGATTGCAAGTGTCATCTATTCGGTATGCCATGTGCGACTCTGGTTTTATTATGAAGAGTGGGAGCTGAGGAGAAGAGTTCCCCACCACCAAATATGACTAACCTAACATTAGCACGTGTAACTAGGTCTGTTTGATTAGGCGCTCCGCGCCTAACCTAACAATGTTGAGCGAGCGAGTAACTTTTACGCTAAAGCAAAAATAGTCAACCGTGTCATCCGGTTGAATTGGTTGAGTGGTGCAAGAGAAAAGCATGCACCAAATGTTGAAAGGTCAAGTACATAAGCGCGAACAAATTCAATTTTGCATTAAAGTCTACGGGGATATGGTTTTGCGGTGATTATTCCTCCGTGGCGTGCGTGGGCGGCGCGCAGGAAGAATACACACAATAATGAGTATGCAAAATTGTTAATTACTCACTTTCTGAGCACAATCTATGAACTTTTATGATTAAAGAATGGTCAGCAATGCATTATTTACATGGTTCGATCATAAAAGTTCATAAATAATGTTCGGGTAATGAATAATTAATTATTTTGTGTCAGCATTGCGATACGTACATGAGCCGTCTGTCAATTCTACTGCACACGCAAAGTGCAATATTTCGGCACTTTGACGACGTAGTGTGAGGCATTTAGAAAGAAATTTCTATTAGGGTTTGATGCGTTTTGATGCCTAATAAAGCCAGGAAATGAATTTTTGTCGAATTCGGTCCAAAACGGTACAGGTGGCGCCATCTAGCGGCGAGCGACGGAACTACGAAAAACTAAAATTTTGATTTTCTCGAAAACTAGGCACTTTTCCGAAATTCTGAGATATACAAATTTTTCCTTGTCACCTACGGTGACGGAATCGAACGAATCCAATTATAGCCCGCTAGGATTATTATTAAGGAAAATAGAAAAATAGCTCATTTCATGGACTAAAAAATTAGCGTCCATCTAGCGGTGAAAGTTGGAACTACAAAAATATAAAAATGCGATTTCCTCGAAAACTAGGGACTTTTCAGAAATTCTGAGATATACAAATTTTTCCTTGTCGCCGACGGAATCGAACGAATCTAATTATAGCTCGCTAGGACTATTATTAAAGAAAATAGAAAAATAGCCCATTTCATGGACTAAAAAATTAGCGTCCATCTAGCGGTGAAAGTTGGAACTACAAAAATATAAAAATGCGATTTCCTCGAAAATTAGCGAACTTTGAGTACTTCTGAGGCTCTGAAAGTGTTATGTGATCGCATTAGAAGCAAAATAATGCAACAAAAGCTTCCTAAAGGCCTTAATAAAGAAATTTAAAAAAATGTCATTTTATGGAGAAAATTTGTGGCGCCATCTAGCGGCGAAACTGCGAACTAAACTGAAAAAACGTATGTCCGAACACGCGTTAAGAGGTCAAATCAAAATTGATTTTCTGAGCTTAATAGGCAAAAAAATGAATGACTTATTCAACAAAAATTGCTTTAAAATGTCTAAAGAAGCATATTGCGTCGTCAAAGTTGCGAAATATTACCTTTTATATTTTTCCTTAACGCGTGTTCGGACATACGTTTTTTCAGTTTAGTTCGCAGTTTCGCCGCTAGATGGCGCCACAAATTTTCTCCATAAAATGACATTTTTTTAAATTTCTTTATTAAGGCCTTTAGGAAGCTTTTGTTGCATTATTTTGCTTCTAATGCGATCACATAACACTTTCAGAGCCTCAGAAGTACTCAAAGTTCGCTAATTTTCGAGGAAATCGCATTTTTATATTTTTGTAGTTCCAACTTTCACCGCTAGATGGACGCCAATTTTTTAGTCCATGTTTTGGACTATTTTTCTATTTTCTTTCCTAGCGCTTTTAGGAGGTTCATGTGGCATTATATAGGTTATAGAGAAGCCACAGAACAATTTCTGACCCTGATTATTTTTACATCATTTTCTACTTTATCAACGGCCGACAATTCTGCAAATGTTTTCTTTCTAAAAAAGTAACTTGTTTGCAAAATCCATCCAGAACCGGAACTTGACGGTATTCCAAAGTTTGGTAATATGTTTTATTCTAATACATGTTTTATATAAATACATTTTACATATTTTATATTTTTATATTTTTACATATTTAAACAATTTTTTCTTTTAATAGTTTCGCATTTGACGGCAAGATGGCGTTAATAGCATTATTTCCAGATAGCGCGGGAAAATACATATTTTCAAATACACGTAAGAATAAGTCTTCCTAAATCTACTACTTTACAGTAAATCTTCTCGAATACTTTTCTACCTGTGTTATCGCTATATTACTCGCATTATAAATATAAATTTTAATACAAAATTAAAATACAGAAATTATTGACATGCTTTAAAGGAAATAAATACCACAGGTCTTATAAAATTTACATCATAAGTGGTTTATCTGTTCACATAGGTATTTTCAATACCTGATAAGCCTGCAATTTAATATTAAATATATGTTGTAACAAAAATATTGATAATAATGGAGATTGTTAATTTTAAAGCGATACATGAATTTTTTTGAAAGCAATATTAAAATGAACAAATTTTTTTTAATTGACAAAGACCAAAGTCAAAAGTTTTTTTTTATTTATCAAGTTAACTTATAGGAGTTCTTACAAGATTTAAAACAGAAGTCGAACAAGTTTTGAAAACAAAAAGCCACGTGTTCTAGAAACGCAACTCAAAATCCAAAGAGAAAGTTCAATAATCATATTCCCGTAAATTTTTCGTGTGGCGGCATAGTAATTTGCCCGTGAGAATTTGTTGCACCTAGTCTATCGCTAAACGGCCAACATCTGGAAGCGATTTCCTCGTCGTAAAATCTCTTCTACCTGCTGACCTGTGCAAAACGCGTTTCATTAAATATAGAACCGTAACAAAGCGTCCCACGCCGGTGCACAACTCTCACAAAATAATCAGCAAGTCGCTCTCGACCAAACATTTCTGATAAACTTTCCATTCTTCTATTCCGAAAATGTTTGTCCGGTGACAATAGCCCGAAGAATTGATGTGGAGAACGCCGGAAACTTACCCTTGGGCTTCCTGGTAGCCAAAAAAGTGCAAATAAACCCCTGAAACTCTGGAAGTATCCATCGGCGCGGTGCGCAGGAGCATTAAAAAGGAGAAGCACGAAAGAAGGCCGTTGACAAAGAGAGGCGGCGACGAGAGCAGCTACGACGGTATAACCCGTTGAAAAGAACGAGAAGAAGATACTGTACCTGGCTGTATTTGCGTGCGGTAGTAACATCATGGAGGGGATAGTTACAGAGAGTAGCCGGTGGGCGTGGCCAAGGACCACCCAGCGGACCAATCGCTCTCCGTGGGCGTCACCGACTGTATAACAATGCTTCGTGTAATACACGGTACAGCGGTTCTCAACCGTCCACTTCTCCATTCATTTCTACATTTTCCGACCTAAGGAAAAATTATCGCGAAAACAATGCGGAGGTAAACAACAAGTATAATTTCCGTACGGGGTCAAAGGGTACCGCCTACGTCAGAAACACTGGCAACTCGTGCGGCTGCGTTGGAAAGCTCTCGCAGGAACGAGAGAACCGTGAAAAGTGAGATGGAGGTGCGAACCGACCGACGGAGAAAGAGGGAAGAAAGGGTAGCAAGTTGGAACGTTGGTCCACGCTCGGTGGGGAGTCCAGCGTGCACTCTGCATCCAGTTGTATACCCAAATGCGTACGAGCGCCGTTTTAATAGTACACACGCGTAGTACCCAATGAATTGATCCCGCGAGTTGCATCCCCCCGGGTTAAAAAGATGTCGCGCCATCTTTGAGGGCACTCCTGCCGCTTTCGAAGGCCTAGCGCGCGCATTTTCGATCGTGGACCATCGGCGAGTAGCCTTTTTTTCGACACCGAACATGCGCGTGTTTCTTTAGAGAATTGTCGAGAATGGCACGCGTTTCTGGAGGTGCACGTTTTAGCGAACTGTCTAATGCGTCTACTGTCTCGGGAATTCGGTAATTGCGCAAGTGTTTCATTGTGATTTGGCAAGGAATGTGAGGTAGAATTTCGGTGAACTTTCAGTGCCATTGTGTAGCATTTGTTGTTGGACTTTTAGAGACTCGATGATCTTCTTACAGTTTTGACTATTTGCGCAGTGGTTGACAGTGTGATAACGATGTAATTGACATGGTTAGTTAGCGTAAGTGACATTAACGATCGATGGAATTCCGTGAAAGAGCGAAGTGTGTCAAGTACCGACGGCTTGGTCAAAGTGTTCAACCCTTGGGAAGTCCCTGCAACTGAAATCACTTTCGGGGGTGACTAAGTGGTTCTTTCGCAGTTGAACACCGGTGAGATCATGGGATTATCCGAAGGTATGTAAAGCTCGGATCAAAGAGTTTACAAATGTTTTGTGGAGGCAAGTTTTGTGGGATCAAGTTTTATGACTCTTTTGTTCTGCTTCTTTTCATATTTGTATTCCATTATTTTTTGGTATATTTGTAATTGGGTTTCATTATTTCTTTGTATGTTTGAAATTGGGTTTCATTATTTCTTTGTATATTTGAAATTGGGTTTCATTATTTCTTTGTATGTTTGAAATTGGGTTTCATTATTTTTTTGTATATTTGAAATTGGGTTTCATTATTTTTTTGTATATTTGAAATTGTGTTTCATTATTTCTTTGTATATTTCTAATCGTGCTTCATTATTTCTTTCTATGTTTGTGGTTATACTGTTTCTTTCAATGTTTATGACTCTATTCTTCTACTCTTTTATTAGTCTCCTCTATCTTTCTTGGAAGTTGCTGTAATATAATATGAGAGATTAATCTGCCATTTTGATCATGCACTTTTAATTTGAAAAATGAGGTTCGTACATTAAAAATGTTCACCCAGTTGAAGGAA